GATTAGGATGAATTATCCAAAAAACTTCAAAAATTTTTTATAATTAAATTGTGGCAATGCTGAGAGAATAGAATGAGCATAGGAAGGGAGGCCATGGCCTTTTTAAATAGAGAAAGCAATTCGACAACCCCTTAACCCAAATAGGGTTATCTTTTTATTTTATAAATTGATCTATTGGATTATTGAACTTATTCAATTTAATTCATGAAGATTTAAATTTTATTTCAATCAAATCTGACTTGATTTTTTTTTCATTTTAATTTCTCACTTAATTATTCTTTTTATGTGTTACCCATTAAATTTTTTATATGTTAATAATGAATATAAATATTATAATCCTTATTTAATTAGAATTCGATGAATCAGATTCTTTTATATTCATCATTAATTTATAATTAATTGATAATTATTTATATATACTAAGATTATCATCTACTAATGTGGCTAGATATCCGAATATTGAGAAGAGTAAATAAGATTTGACTAATTAACCTATGTATGTATAATTTGTCAAAATGATGCATTCCTTTTTTCACCGAATCTCGGCGGAGATAAAGTATAGACCAGGAAGCTAAATTATAGACTTTAGTAATTCCATGCACAAAACAGAAAACTTTAGTAATTTTTGATCTAGAAGCTATTAACTCATAAATGAACTTTAAATTTATTCAAAACTTCGTTTCACTTTGTCCAAAATTTTTTGAATTAATCTTTGTCAAGAATTGTGAAATAACTAATGACAATTATATAGGAATTTGTAGATAAAGAATAGCTTAATTAATAAAAGTAATGCTTAATATGACATATATTTCATAATCAATTTGATTGAACATGGCTGATTGCATCTGTTTTAAGGAATTATATGTCAATTTGTTTCACAAATTATGAAAAAAGAAGAAAGCTATTTTTTGCTCTGCTTTTGTTTTGTTTTTGCTTTGCCTTGACTTTGTCGCTTGGGTTTCCTCGCTACAAGTCGTTTTCCTTCTCCTTGATCTCTTAAAGATTCTTTATTCCGTCAGATTCTAGAACAAAAACAGTGAGCTTGAGCAAGTTTTGAACCAGTTGTTAGCATGCCATGCAGTGAGTCCTCTATGGTTCGGCTTTTTTAAACCGATTCGTTGATGAAATTTGATTTTTTTTTTTGTTTTGGAGAGAGAAATGCTTTATATGATTGAAATACCGAATAAATCAAAGCTTGTTGCGAAGCTAACGAAGAGAAAAATAGCTCAGTGAAGAACATGGTTTTGGCGTTTGATTTTCTTTCAAGATAGGGTTTAGCTTTTTTTGGAAATTGAATGTGAACGGAAGCAGTGGCTTTTCCTCAATCACGTCTGCAGTAAATTCCATATGGAAGGATGTTGTAAAAATGATTTTTTTTTTTTTGTAGCAATGTTTTTCCATAGTTAATGGAAGTAGCTTTATGGTGAAAAAATTAAATTGATCTCTACAGCAAACAAAGTGATTTTCCTTGCTTGTATCTGTTCTGCACAATCAGTTTGATTTCGTTGTTGAAGGATGATATGATCCATTATAAGGAAAAGGATTTAATGTTCTACCTGTTTGGGTAATTATGTAATTTTCTAATTTTTGTTAACTTCGTTTATTGTTTTGGGGTGGGATGTCCGATTCCCAAACTAATGATCTTGAAGTGAATTATGATCAAAATGAAAGTACTTAAATCAAATTTACCCTTTATTTTATCCTCACTTTTATTTTACTTGCTTTTATTTCCTTGTCTAGTTTTCTTGTTTTGTTATTTTATTTTCTGTTTTACTTTTAGCATTTATTTATTTATTTTTTGCACTTTATCTTTATGTTATCTTTGTAATCTATTTTATTTGCATTTGATCGATTGTTATTTTTCTTGATTTGGATAAAATTAAGGTGGTACAATTTTAATATTTAATAAAAATTAATCCAATCATCGCGAGAATAATACTTTATTTATTATTTTATTACTTGATAAGATTTGCATAATCGTCAAATGTACATCAAACATTTTCAGAGATATTATTATATTGTTAAATAACTATTTTGGTTTAATTTTAATTTTAAATTATTAGTAAATTTCTTAAATATATACTAATAATAAAATATAATTTAAATGGTGACGAATAGATTTTAAAGGAGCACAAACGATAGGCTAACGGAATTGATGGAACCCAAACATTATGGCCCATACAAATAGTTTCATTCAGGAGTCAAGGCTCCACTCCTTCCACCTTCGTCTCCATTTGCTCTCAGAGCCCCGCGCCTTAAGCCTTCACTCGCGTGTGGGTACGCGCTCTTCCCTTTCTTTCATATGTTTTACTTTGTTTCATCTTGTTTGGTATTACATTTTACTTTATCTTTTATATTTTCTTTCTTCTCTTCTTTTTCATTGTAAATTTTGTGCTATACTCTGTTTATTTCCTGAGAAAATGACGTAGAAAGTTAAGAATTAAACTAAAGTTGGAGTGAGGAAGTTGGGTTCTTTAATTTCTCCACGAAAGACATGCAACATGAAAGAAAAAATGGTTTCTTTTACCTCCTTTTTTACCAGCTTCTGAACCATTGACACCACGTCCAAGTTGCGAATCTTTGATTTTTGGTAGTTGCGGTGGCAAATGGCAATGCACCTTTCTTTGAAAAGAAAATTATTTAACTTAATTGAGTTTCAGGCGTTTTTCTTTCATTATATTTATTGGTAATAGCGCTGCTTGTTTTCCAAGAAAATTACACAGAATGACTGATCTAACAAAAGTAGAGTTGAGGTTTTAATTTTGTTCATTAATCTTAAGTATACTGAAAAAAACTGTTTTCTTTGTCCTCTTTGCCTCTAAATTTAGGATTGAAATATTAGGTCTTGTTGAACTATGTTAACTTTTGTTGTTTTTTTATATATAAGTCAAGCAAAATGGCAATATGATTCATGTAGTTAATCTCAAATAACGAAAATACCTCAATTATTGAAAATACTCGCTAGGTAGAGGAATCTCATATAAATATCATGGAATGAGGCTTGATTCTATTCCTGAGAAATCCTTAAATAATCCAATATGAAAGTAGAAAGATCAGAACAATTGCATTTTTGGAGATTGGAGTTGGAAACACGTAGTTTCTATTTCATCATCTGGCTTGGACAGTTGATGCTTTTTATATAAGGTGAATTTCCTCTATTTGCTTATGTTTTGTGCTTCATAGTTGGATGGTCATTAGTACTTTTTCTAAGCAAAATTAGAATTTACTATGACTTTTGTGCATATTGATTATTATTTTGTGCTAAGTTGCCTTCGATTCAGATGATATAACATCGATAAATTGTGGTATAAAGAATGTCAACCATTTGTGATTTGTAGAGTCATTAAAGTTTTATGAGATTTAGGATGTATTAGATGCTCTTTCTCTGTGGATCAAAATACATATAGGTGCACATTACATCAAACGCTTAAAAGGCTAAAATCTATGCTGTCAGCTTCTTGTTGTGGAGCAAAATGGTTCATATATTAGATTAGATCCTACTTAAAAATAAGTATGGCTTCCCTAAATTTTACATGCTTGGCCTACAGGTCAAAAAGGCTCTTAGATGTGTTTATAATTGCAGTAAAAATCTCCAGAAATGGTTTTGACACCGTAAAGTCCTAAGTATTTAGCATGATGACAGTTGAACTACTCTCAATGCATTAAGGGTTGCAATGGTACAAGTATGTATTGTTTTTAAAGTTTAAAGCTGCTTTGCTTTTCTAAGAAATATGGGTTTTTCTATTTGGGGCAACACTCTTGAATGGATATATACTTGTAGTAACTTGTCCGATGTTGCTATATATATATATTTAAATATACGTAGAGTAGGGATTCACTTACATTATTGTTAGTGTTACACACTTTTTTGACCATTGGATCAAAATTAAATCCATAACACTTATATTTGGCCATTTTGATTCAATAGTGAAAAAATGTGTAACACGTACACTAGTGTAGTGGATTCCTACTTGTATATATATATTGACAGATTGGTTACACCTGCTAGGGTCGTAAATTACCGGTGTTGGTATTGTTCCATGCGAATGCTCCTACTTTCACAGCATGGTTACATTTTATTATGATATATAATACTGGTATTTTATCATACAATGGTTAAACGCTAGTCTCTCTCATATGCACTCAGATTGATTTGTGCTGGAACGACCACTGAGCAGAATGTGTGCTGGATATGTTGCTCGGGAAGATGACCTGCTGGGAAGCAAGGCTATGGACCGAAACTCTGAAGTGTTCACAACAACGAGGATAAGTGCTAGTCTACATGAGATTGAAGAGTTGATGAATGAGCTGGAATAAGCACTTACTGGTCTTGAAGAAGTTATTGCACTTGTTAACAAGATTAACTGCTTCTTTGGTGCAATTCTGGTAGTTTTATGTCTGTTTTATTTGCTTAATATGTTGGGTTGCTCTGAGCATACCCATTTATAGCTGACTGAATGTCATTTAGTTTTGTTCTTACTTTTACAGGTATAGCTAAGTAACCATTTGTGGTCCTGCCTATGTAAGTATAGTAGACTGACCACTATGGTTTTGTTTTTCCTATGAGGCTATGAAATGCGTATTTGTTTTTTGTCTTTTGCTTCTTGCAGTGGCTTGTATATTTGCAGTTATACAATTTGTTTCCGGTTTTTTAAGAAAAATGAGCTGTTACTTCTTATCTTTTCGTTTTCTCAACTTACGGATTCAAGTAGAGGCAAATGGGTTCTGAAAATCTAATCCTATAGGTTTTTTATTTTTTATTTTTAAATAAGATCTAATCCAATATCTGCCTAAACAAGTGCCTTTCTCACCTCAAGGCAGTTGATTAGATAGAAATGGTTTAAGTGTATCCTGAAGAATGCTACAGTTCTGGAGAAGCTTAAAATGCAAATCATCGCATAGAAAAATAAACAATTGAGGATCACCAAATAATTACTGAACTGGCCGAGTGGATCAAACCAGAGCTATATGAGGCCTACCAAGTTTTCTGTTTTGTCAAGTTTCTCAAGTGTTTTTTTGTGTACGGAATGGGTTGTTAGCATCCTTGTTCCTACGGTGTTTAAGAAGTATTAAGTAGCAAGGGACGCTTGTTCCAGCATTTATTCTAATCTGTAAGGCAAAAAAAGTTTTGTTCTAATTTCTCTGGAATCTGAAATATAATTCTGGTCCATGCCACCATTAACTGCTTATTTGAACATTAAAATTTGCAACCACCAACGTGCAAATCTGGCTCTTAACCATTTAGTTACAGACTTACAGAGGCTTCTAACGTGTCTCTTTCAAGTAATGCTCACCAATCAACAGTGTCCTGAGGAGCATTAGAGGGTTCTTCGTCTACAAATTTTCTTTTTGTTTCTTTTCTGCTGAATGTATTAGGATTTCTTTCCTCCGGCTGAGAAAAACCATTGATCAGAAGGAAATTAAAGTTCAGCTAAATAAACATCAGGATTCAAATTAAGAATTACAAAATAAATCCATTTAACTTTGGAAGTTTATATATATAGGATATAGCAAGCATGTTACATAGCATTAAGTAACACAGTCATGAAAATGGCAGAACCGATTCCAGCAAGTAGAAGTTCCTCTCTCAATTCCTGGTTCCAGCAATATTTCATGATGATTTATTCAACACTCTCCAATAAAAGACAAACAAAATCAATCACAGTAGTGAGTAAACCAGCAATATTTCCCCTCTACACCATATTCATTTTCATGTTCATCCCCCCTACTGTGAACCCACCACAACAGATTAGTAAGTGAATTCCCATCATCAAAACCATTCAGATTTCTTATCTTTTCCAAAGCACTCTCTTTGTCATAAATTGCTTCCAAGGCATAGACAAACCCTTTCCATCCCTCTCCTACTCCTTCCCTTCGCAATGCTGGTAATGTCCAGTTTACAAGCTCTCTAGTAAAGCCAATATCAGAGAACAAAACCTCACTGATAGGCAATATGGGTAGAAACTGAATTCCAAGTCTGCACTCTCTCCAGTCAGGAGGAGCAAACCAAAGGCCACTGTCCCTCTTGTTAGCCCACAAAACTCCTACCACTCTGTTCTCTGCCGTGAATTCTTCTTCATACAGATTATCTCCCTCCTTTACATGCCACCACGTTTGTGCTCCTTGAATCTCCATTGCAGCAAGAGTTGATCCAGTTGCAATGAGATGAGTGTCCCCATAGGCTAACCCCATCAATGCAGCAGAATAATATGCATTTACCGCTTCACTGGTGCTTTCTTGATTCCTTCCATCTGCAAATTCAGTCAACCCTCCAGCCCAAGAATGCAGTTTATACAGATCAAAACACCTCAAACGTGGATAATTTGAATTTGATCGTCTGCCTAAGTTCATAAAATCTGCCACAAGTGAATAAGCTTGGGGCTTATACCTCCTCCCCCATACCGGGTCAATCTTGGCCAATACAGCTATTGCATAAAGGAAGTAACCAATATGATAATGGTGATCATTGTAAATTCCAAAACCAAAATCTGCCCCTGAATCAGCTGACCCTTGTTTAGTTACAATTCCACCCCATTTTGAATCATACAAAAAACCATTTCCATTAAAAGTCCCATCCAGCCATGGCTCAATTGTATCCTTCAAGAACTTCCTTATTGCTGGAATCACATCAAGAAAACACAATTCTTCAGCAATCAAAGCCAACCTTGCTGCTCTTGCTACCAATTTCCCATAAAAATAAGATGATGTTGTTGTTATAGCCGATGAATTCAAGGCCTCAACATCCTTACAAAGAGCAGTTACAATCTCAGGATATGATTCTTCTTTCACCCCTTTAATAGAATGCCAAGTCACTGAAACTTGGTGTGGTTTCAACACCCATGAATCACCAACAATACCAACAAGCTCCCCATCAATACTTTTATACTTAAAATTCTCTAAAACCTCAACATCACAATCGTCACTAGATAAAATATTAAGATGAAGTGGATGTGCAAGCATAAGCAAATTCCCCCACCCTTTCTTTTCCCATTTATACTCTAAACAAAATGGTTTAGTTAAAACCGCATCACCTGAGATTGGATAGCATGAACTGAACTGATCAAGGATTGACTCATATGTTGGATCAGAATCTGGCAGTACAGCTATCCGAATAATACCCGAAAACCCGTCAGAAGCGATCGAAGAATGACTTTGATTCAAACTGATGGCTGAAGATGTATATAAAAGCCAAGTTTGATTGTTGTTAAGCTTAATGGTATGCTTGGTGAGTGAACTATTTGAACAAAATGAGACAATTTCATGAACCGTAGAGATTGATATTGGAGTATTGCCTGTTACAGAAGAGGTTAAAAAGGGACTACCTCGGACAAGAAAGAAACGGAGGTTTGAACAGGGGAAATCTAAAGTAAGACTTAAATCACCATAAGAAGAGATTATATGGTTTTTTTGTGAAGTTGGGTTGGTTTTATCTGTTGCAAAGATGGTTAGATCAGAGATAAAAATTTGGCCTACGAAGGAAGAGTTGTGGACGTGAGAAGGGTAGGAGATGGAAAGGGAAGAGTCAGCTGATTTGATGAGATATGGATGGATGTATTCAGGTTGGTCGCCGTTTTTGAGAGTAAAGTTTTGGAAGAAAGAGTTTGTAGGGAGAGGAGTTGAGAGGAGATTTGGGGAGAAGAAAACAGAAGGATCAGGGAGAACTGAGGATTGTACATTGGGAAAGAGAAAAGGATGGTTTTTTGGTGGTGACATTGGTGGAGATGATGAGGGAGACAGTGATTTTGGTGGGGGGTTTACAAGGTTTTTTAGGCTTTTTAAAGGGCTTTATAATTATGGTCTTGACTTTCTCTTCAACCTTTTTCAACAGTCCTTGGTTTGGTAAAATAGCTAATGAAGAAATAGAAATTTGTTAGGGTTTGGCGGAGACGGAAACTAGGAGGAAACAAAGGCAGTTTGACTGTTTTTAGGTGTGAAAACGGGGGCGGCGGTACAAGGGAAGCAAGGGCCGCGATCCCCAAAATTTTTTTCTCTTTTATTATATAATGATCAATTTTATTTCTTTTTAAAACTAATTTTAGACCCATTCTTTATTAATTTTTTATCTTTGCTTCTAGTGAAAGGCTTGACCTGAAATGAGGATCTATCGTCGACAACTTGTTTCGATTTGTTACTAAAGGACTTGGCTTGGAGGCGATGTTGTGGACTGGCAAAATTAGAATCGGAAGGAAGAAGGGTTAGATTAGAAGTTATGTAGGAAGTGTTAGAATATAAAGCAACAAGGACAATTACGTGAAAGTCGTATAAGTAATAATAAATAATCAGTAATGTAAGAAAAAAAAATATCAACAAAAATTTTAGTACAGAGAAAAAAATTAGTGACCACATACGAATTCAGAATTTATGTTGTACAAGCAACTAATATAGATAATTTTAAATATAAAAATATATAAATATAAATTATCTCAAATGTATAAAAAATTATTTTATTTATACACAAAGATAATATATTATAATTTTTTATGGGTTTCTTAGTTGGAAAATAAACTTTTCAAACATTATTTTTTTCATTGAAATGGTAGTCTAAAATTTTTTTCATAACTTTGAATTCAACGAAAATTATTTAGATCTAATTAAAAATAAATTTTTATAAAATATTATGTGTTACTATTATTAATTTTGGATGATTTCTTTAAAATTGACTGTATCTTAATAAGATTTTTTTCACAATTGATTAAATTAGATAATTTAGTTTATATAATTTTTAAGAAATAAGAAGATAATATTGTAATTTATATTAGATATTGAAATGTTATTATACAAACAAAATCAACATGCATATTTTAAATGTATTTTGAATTTTAATTAAATAATATAATTTTATAAATAAAAAATAATTTCATAAAAATTAAATTATTTCATTGATTAACTTAAGAAAACACAACATTTTTTGATCTTAATCTACTTATAATATAAATATAAATATAAATAAATCATAAATTAAGCCCCAAATCAAATTATTTTACCAATATAAAAAAATTTAAATATTAAATAAATATTCTATCACATAAACAAATGATAATAAATGCAAAAAAAATCCAAAAAAAAAACTAATTACTTACTTAAATATATTGATGGAAGAAAAAAAATGTTCACTCATTAATTTGTTTCTTTGGTTTATTGGCTTTTTTTTTTTGTCTTTTTGTTATTTCTTTACTTTTATTTTTTATCTACTGTAATTTTTATGGGTTTGGACAAAGAGAAAAATTATAGGTGGAGTAGAAAGATTACTTTTTATTTGAGTTTTATTGTTTTTTAAAATTAAATGATGGTCTTTGAATAAAAAAGTATTTATAAATGTTTATTTTATTTATATTTATGCAAGTGACCTATTATTTTTGTAAAATAAGTCATTTATATTGCAATTATAGTTTTGTTCTTTCAAACGTATATACAAGTGTCATCATATTTTATTTATTTTTATTTTTAGTGGGGGCAAATTGTAAAAGAATTAAAATTTTTAAAGACTATTGTAATAATTTCTAAGGGATATTAAGATATCAATAAGGCTAACTGTCCTCACTACCCCTATTGTAGATCCGTCCCTATTCATTATCAAATAATAAATATACAAAAATTTTTTTTATTTAAAACTAGAGCTAAATAACAATTAAAGAAACAATTGAAAAAATATTGCTAAATAGGTGATTTAACAAATATACTTTGGATTTGTTTCTAAAAAGTCTCAACTTTGATCTCCACCGTTCAAAATATAGAACATTGTATTGTAAATGCACTGACAAAATTTTAGCTTAACCAGACCATAGATCAACCTTCGTTTAACCTTTTGATTAAACTAGCAGCTCTTCCTTCTTTTTTTTTCTTCACTTAGTAACAAATTTTTCCTCTCTTTGGCAGTTTACTCTTTTTTGCACCTAATAAAACATAGCCCTCACCTCTATTTAAAATAAGGTTATCACATGTTTAAAACAAAAGGCCTATAGCCTTTAATTGGTCTAAAAAGAATTGGGCTAGACCCCATATTATAACAATCTTTCCCTCCAACTCCATTAGGAAGAAATCCATCACATAGTTGTCTCATTTGAAACTTACCTTGGCCAAGGAATCTATTTCGACCAAGTTACTACAAAGATCAAGTTTTTCTTTAGGAAGTGTCTTAGTCAACATATCTATTATATTTTCATTAGTATAGACTTTATTCAACTGCATTTGTTGCTTTTTAATTATTGAACACAATTAGTCTTATCTAATATCAATGCATTTCATTTTAGTATGATACATGATATTCTTACTTAAAATCTAAAGTATCTTTGGATGTCATAATATACTACATACTCTTTTTAATTCAAACCTAATTTTGGAAAAAAATGTTTCATCCAAAATATTTTTTTACAAGCTTCAGTTGTTGCAATATACTAAATATCTGTAATTGACAAGTAATATACTTTTGTAACTTAGATTGTTAGAACAAAATTTCTCTTACAAAAGTAAATAAATACTATGAAATAGATTTCCTGTCTTTAAGATCTTTTACTATGTCAGCATTAATAAATATTTCTAGAATTGGTTGTGTAATTTCATAACTCTAAGACATTTTTGAGGTGCCTCTCAAATACTTGAAGACCTATTTCACTGCTCCCAATAAACTTTCCCTGGATTAGAAAAAAGTCTGCTCATTACACCAATTACATGAACAATGTCAAATTGTGTGCAAATCATAAGATATATTAAAGAGCCAATTACAGAGGAAGAAAAAAAAACTAGACATAGCTAGTTGCTTTTTTTTAGTTACTGACCAAGATTCTTACTAAGATGAAAATGGTTGGCAAGTTGTGTGCTAATTGATTTAGTATGCTGCATGTTGAATTTATTAAGCACCCATTCAACATATTTTTTTTATAACAATCATAGCTTCCTAGCTCTCTTATTCTTGAATAATATTTATACTGAGAATCTATTTTGTTGGATCAAAATCTTTCATATCAAAGGACTTAGATAATTATTTTTTTAACTTATGAACCATACGAGCATCTTGTCCCATAATTAGCATATTATTAACATATAATAAGATAATAATGAAGTTACCATCGTGAAATTTTGTTATGTACACATAAAGATCCAATGCCATTCTTTTATAGCTATACTTACCATAAAAGAATCAAATTTCTTATACCACTGTTGTGGAGCTTATTTTAAGTCATATAAGTTTTTCTTCAGTTTGTAACTAGATGCTTTTTCTCTTTCACTTCAAAACCTTTGGACTGATGCATATAAATCTCTTTCCCCAAGTCACTATATAAGAATACAGTCTTGACATCAAGTTATTTAAGCTCAAGAATTAAACTAGCTACTAATTCTAGTACCACTTGAATGAAACTCATTTTCACAACTAGAGAGAAAATCTTATCAAAATAGATGTCAAGTTTTTGAAAAAAAATCTTTCACCATAAATTGAATTTATACCTTACTAGCTTGTAACCATCTTTTTTTTAGTTTGAACATCCATTTATTTTTCAATGGCCTTTTCCTTTTCAAAAGATTAACATAATCATATATATCATTTTTTCATAATAACTCCATTTCTTCTTTATTGCTTTTAATTAGTGCTTTTTGTATAGAGTATTCAGTATATCTTGGAAGCTTTTGGCTCTTCCTTACTGGTAACTAAAACAAAATTTAAATTTGAATACTTGGTAGATGGCTGGTGCTCTTTTGTAAATCTCTTAAACTGATGCTTTATATTACTTGATGTTGAAAGTAACTGTTTTTCCTCAATACTTTCAGGTGGAGATGATTGTTTATCCTATTCAACACTTTTTGGTGGTGTTTGGTTTAGAGGAATCCATAAAATTTTTTTTGGAATCTTGATGGTGGATATTTGATTCCCACATTTGGTTTACAAAAATCTGATTACAGACAAAAATGTCATATTCTCAATAGTACCCAAAGTCTCATAATAAAAAACCTAGCTCTTCCTGTGGTATTCTAGGATTCTAGGAAAAAAGTTACTTTATTTTTAAATTTGACCTGAATAAAAAATGATAAATAGCCGTTTAAAAGTGATTGAAACTCACTTGTAGGTTTTTGTACAAATTTTTTTTAATGTTGTAATTAATGTGTTTGGCATAAAAAAATGCCTTAAATAATCCATTTATAAAAATATAAAAAGATTATTTAAGACGTTTTTGTACAGAAAATCCCTTAAATAATCTTTTTATAGTTTAGTTTAGGGTTAATATTTTTATAAAAGGATTATTTAAGGCATTTTTTATGTAGAAACATCTTAAATAATCTTTTTATATTTTAGGTTAATATTTTTATAAATAAATTATTTAAGGCATTTTTGTATAAAAAATGCTTTAAAAAATCTTTTTATATTTTAGGATTTGAGGTTAATATTTTTATAAAAAGATTATTTAAGGTTTTTTTTTGTATAAAAATACCTTAAATAATCTTTTTATAAATTAAAGGATAATTATTAAATAATCCATAATATAAAAAAATAAAAAATTATTTAAAGCATTTCTATACAGAAAATAGCATAATCTTTTTTTTTTTTTTTATAAAAGGATTGGTTAAGGTGTTTTTTGTACAGAAACACCTTAAATGAGCTTTGGTAGTTTTGTCATTCTTAGCGTACATTTGACTTTTTCTATAATGGTGCCGTTCATCTTTTTAGTTACACCATTATACTGTGATGTTTTAAGTTCTGTTACCTTATACTTGATCCCATACTTTAAACAATATTATTCAAAGTGCATTTTTTATCATTATCAACCCGAATACACTTTAAGGGCAACCTTGTCATCCTTTCCACTATGGCATGGGATTTTTAAAAATACTGTAGTATCTTACTTTTATTTTTCAACATATATACTTAAGATTTATGTGAAACATCATTAATAAAAGTAACAAAGTATCTATTACCACCAAATGTCTCAACTTTAATGGGACCATATATATCATAATGAATTAATTTCAATCTTTTTTTTAAAACACTAACAAAATAAACTCTATGATAGTTGCCATGTAAATAATAATCACATAAATTGAGAGATATATATTTGGTTAAGAAATGTGAGACTACCTTATCAAAATTTGTAACCCTTTCGTATTCATTTGTGCTAGCCTTTTGTGCCACAAAGTTACTGAAGTGTCATCCTCAATGACATTTATTTGATTGTCACTTAATTGTATCTACGTCTTGTATATTATATATCATAGTTTTTCT